GTTTTTACAACGTCGGCTGTTCCAGTTTCCGACGTAAATGAGGAGACGTAGTAGCCCATTTTTGCACTAGTGCTTGTCCTCCACACTATCCAAGTAGTGACCAACCACACAGTACGCCAATATTCAACCTCTGCATTTTGGTGAATAGGTCCAGGAATGAAGTTGAAATGCTCCAAAATGTACCTAGGGAAGGGTCAGGATAATTAATCCAAGAGAAACATACCTTCCATACTTTGTCAACCATCGGGAAGGTGCAGAACAAATGATAATCAGTTTCAATATCCTGTTTACAAAAAAAACACAGTGCATCATTATTTGATAGGGCAATGATCCTACTTGCCAGATTATCCATCGTCGAGAAGCCCCTACTCATCATTCTCCAAGAAAAAATTTTAGCTTTCGGTGGTGCCAGGATGGACCAGATAATGCTAGGTGCATCATTATTGGATCCTACAACAGCTTTAGAGGTGATGGCACTATATGCAGACCTGACTGTATAAGTTCCAGACGGTTCACATAACCACCACCGTGAGTCACCTGCTCCGCCCTAGGACTACACTCCGCAAGTTGTTGCATTATCAAAAAGCAGAACGGCCCGTTCTAAAGTTCATGTTAACACTGATTGACCATAGTTGGAACGGCCCGTTTCCCTTTTGGAACGGCCCGTTCTGGTCCTTCAAAAATAACTTATTTTCATTATTTGGAACGGCCCGTTCCACTTTTGGAACAGCCCGTTCCAGCCTAAAAAAATAGAATTTATAAAAATTTTCATAAATAATTTTAAATTAATACAAACCTCTATAAAACCTCTTTAATTAACAAAAATAACTATATAAAAATAATAGTATTCAACATTGTATTAGTAGAAGATTCGGGATGTTACACATAGAATTTATACATGTTACTAAAATGCAAACTTTTGACAAATATTGGGACCATAGTTTAACTTAGTTTAAATTAAAAAAAAAAATTGTGTGCGACTTAGTTATATTTTAAATTGGTCAAATTGAATATATGTTTTTTTTATTCTTTAATTTAAAATAAATAGTTCTTATAATTAAAAAAAGCATTTTACTCCTTCAAAATCACATACAACATTATTAATAAGGACACGCTAAGTCAACTGTGCAACATCATCTAGAATTGATATAATATTTTTATTAAAAGAAATAATTGTATGACAAATTTAATAGTGAATAAAATTTTGTGTGATAAATTCATTAACTGTATTTGGATAGACTAAAATAATTTTCATTTCAAATTATAATGATTAAAAATATTAATTTGAAATTTAAAAGTTCAAAAATATATTTATCTTATATATGAGAGACTAAAAATATATTTAACTCAAATTAATAAGTTTTAATTTAATATGAATTTTATTTGTTTTTTTATCCTTCTAAAATTTAGAATTATTATTTTTAGTCATTATTATTATGTAAATTTTTAACTAATTATATATTTATTTGAAAAGATTAAGTAACTATCATACGTTATATTCACAATTGTATATAATATTATGTTAGTGTATGATTGTATAATACTTCTAAAAAAAAAAATATAGATCCTTAAAACAAATTAATATTATTTATCTTCTTTAATTGTAGATAGACTAATGGTATTTGGATAGGAAGCTAACATATTTTTTTTTTCAAATTACAATGATTAAAATTATTATTTTTAAGTTTGAGAGATAAAAAATAAATTTATATCATATTTAAGATATTAAAAATATATTTAAGAAAAATAGTATTTATAATATTACATCTAAATCTTATTTTTTTTTTATGATACTCGAATATAAACATGATAAAAAATTGAAAATATTTTATTAAAATGAAAATATCATTATATAAAAATATACAAGTCATTTAAAACTTAAATTTTTATAACTATATATAAAGAAAATATTTTTTTTATTATCTACTTCTTCAAGATAATTATACCTCTATATATATATATATCTTAATTTTGATTACTAATATATTTAAGAATAAAATAAAAATTAATTATACAAAATAATAATAAATTTTTTAAAAATAATAACTACCAATTTGTTTAAAAAATATTTATTTAGGTGCTGGTAATAATAATAAATGGAAATTACCTACCAAGGTTGGGAAGAAAATGGTAAGAAAGTGAGTGAGTCTCTTAAATGATGCGAGGGGCAAAATGGTAACAGCTCATTATCCGTCCGTTACCTTACCCAGCGACGAAACAAAGAACGCTAAAGTAATGTCATGTTCGTAAATAGTCTGAAAAGCAGGCACAGTTACCCATCCCACTTTCACACACACCTTCTTCCAATTCCATCATCTTCATTCTTCTTTTCCTCATTGCTACCTACACTCCTCCACTAATCGGTAATTTCCTTCTACTTCCTCACTAATTTATTCCCAACACTGCAACTTCTTCTCTTTTCATCAGATCTATCCCCTTTCGCCCCTTCATTTTTTTTTTATTTTTTTAATATATTTTTTGCTCTGTTTATCTATGTGCATCTGAGAAGAATTTGATTTTGTTTAGGTTTTGATTTGGTCCCGGGAGATCTGGTTGATCCGAAACAGTGAACAGTCTGGGTGGTTTGTCTATTCGTTTAACGACGCCGTTTGGTTTTAGGTTTTGGGGGTCATTTCCGACACCTCCTCGTACTGGGATCTAGTGTACAAAACATCGTTGTTCATGTTACAAATGGAGACACTCGTTGTGGTGGCGCAGCATAGGAACCAATACTGCAGCAGGTCGAAACCCCAAGGGCACGCTTCACCCTCCAGAGACTTTAGAGCCATAAATCGCACAACTTTTCAAACGGGGTGTGGTATTCTACCAACCCCACTCAAATCCCACACTTCACCGTTAACTAAATACCCTTCTTCAGATTCCTCCAAAACACCGTTAACCCCTTCAAACACAATCAAAACCCGTTGCAAAACCACTCCCAGAAGTGCCCCAGTTCCCATCAATCACAAAAGGGAGAGATGCTTCACTGAACATGTTTCTGATGGGGGCATTTTGCTCTCTGAACTTTGGGCTGGTCCTACGTATTCCAATTCTCCACCACCTAGTTCCTTGCCTATTCCCAAGTTTTTTGTAAAACCAAAGAGAAGTGTGTCCCTTGATCTCCCTGGTTCTTGTCCTGAAGTGGAAATGCAGTTACATGCTAAGTCTGCACCTTCCTCCCCTCGCAGGGAGGATTCCCCTTATGCCGGAGATATCTTTGATTCTGCGACGATGGATCTGCGTCGCATTCTCAATCTTAACTTGGATGATGAATGAGATTTGAGGAGCAAGAGGCTCCTGTAAATAAGTGTTTTTGGTTGATGAAGTTGGGTTAGTGTTAGATTAGGTGTGGTGTATAGAGTGACCGAATAAAGAGTGTGTAGTTTTAGTTTGTTGTGTAGCTTTCGGTTGTGGTGGTGCCCTTCACAAGGATGGATGATGGCATTGGTGGGTTGATGTTTTGAGAACTCGGGAATGTGAGGTTCTTTTGGGAGCAGGGTTTGTTTTGTGGCATGGATGGAAGCTGAGTGGTGTGGCATGGAATATAGAGTTGGATGGCTTTGAAGGAAGTTAGTAGTTTATGTATTGAAGAGGAACTACTGATTTCATGATGTGTTGTATTTCATAGTATCATCTCACAGAAAGAATGGTTACCTTCTTTTAGTCTGATACTTGATTTAGGTCTCTTGTTTTAGTACATACTGTAGATCGTAGGATCTTGCACTTACAGAAACTTGAAAAACCCTTTAGAGCTGAACCCTTTGGTTCTTTCCCCCCTCCCCACCTTCAGAATTTCTCTTATCATAATCTTTATTCTTCTATTAGGGTCTTCTAGTTTGTAGTTACTGATCCTCTTTTTTCTCTTAAGCTATCTCTTGCTTCTCTATGTAAAGTTCTCATTTCTTAGTTGCCCTATAGTTAGTCCCTTCACCATCTTTTCAGTTTTTTACAAAGAAATGATGGAAGGGGTTCGGTTACATATAATCCTCTGCTGCTGACTGCTTTAGTTTCGTAGGGTTAATCTGTGTCACAACCTGTTATCAAGTCCTTCATGTTTTCCATTTTAGTTTATGGTTAATGCTTCTTTCTATATCTTCATCTGGTTCATCCCTGATGGAGAGTTTGACCATCCTACGCCAAAATTAAGGTAAGATATTGCTTGATGCTCATGCTTTTTTGCTTCTGCTTTGTTATTTTCATGGCATAAACTGCAGTTACTGAAAATTGCCTCAATGTGAATCAGGGAGGCAAAACTATTCCGTGGCTGTTTTGTTCAGAAGATGTGATCATGGTCTTCTTTCTAGTTAGATTGCAAGTCCGTTTTTCTTCATGAACACCCTTTATGGTTCGTAACTTGTGTTTCTTCTTTCTTTGACGCATATTATGTAACTGGTGGAACTTTTATGGTCTGCTGAAATAAATTGTTGCTGACTATTAGCTATGAATATGAACTGTTTTATCTGAAGTAGCGATTAAGTACACGATTCTGTTCACTGATTTATATACCCTTTTTTTTAAATCTGTGACAACAGCATTTTGAAGAAGAAATTTATTTTTTCCCATGAAGTTCATATACTTGATATGATTGGATAAGAGAAATTAAAATTTCATGATGCAATACAAGTTTAGATTTGTTAACGTGATTTGTTTTATTATTTTTAATACTTTGCCTAAAAGCATAATATTTTTGAAGAGATTGATCATTTATCAGTAATCCCGTTGTATGTAATTATACTTGGGGTATGTTTGAATAAAATTTTTCACAAGTACTAAGAAAAATACAATAAGTTTTTCTTAAAGTAAAAAGTAATTTATTCATAAGTCAAGTTAATTTGGAGAAGCTTTTTTATATTAGATTTTTCAAATTATGATTCATGCTAGTTAATTTTAATTTATGGACAAGATAATTTTTTTTTCTTGAAGGTGCTAATGATTAATGAAGAGCGTATATTATCCTTGCTAGTAAGAAAAAGGCACACTGCGCCTGCATTTGTATTAAAAGAAAAAAATAATAATAAATGAGAAGTTATTCATAAAAAAAATAGTTATTAAAAAATAAATAAAAGATAAAATAATTTATATAAAAATGAAAATTAAAAATAGTTATTGAAAGAGATTTTTTTTTATATATTAGTATTAGTGTAAATTTATTAGTTTCAAGTTCTTAAATTTAATTAAAAAATATTTTTTTTAATTTTTTAAAATAAAAGGATATAATATAAAAAAAAAAAAAAGGTAGAGACCATAATGGTTATTGAAAAGAGTATTTTTTTTATATAGAATTAATTACTTATATATTGTTAATGTAAAAAATTTTTATACTAGTAATTAATTAAATTTTTAATTGTGTTATGTTACTGTTAAAAATAAATATATTTATAATAATATGGCACAATTAAAATATTTAATTGGTTGTCAGTGTAAAAAATCTTATACTCTATAGGTAATTAACTCTTATATACTAGTATAGATATTACATTTCAGAGTATCGTAGCAGCCTTATATCAAACGTATTGGCCTATCGTTACCCAATAAAAAACGTTTTGGACTATTGAATTTTTTAAAATAGAAAGGTAACCGGAAGCTGATTAAGTATTTAGGAGAATTTCATTGCTAATTTGCTATTTGATTTGGGTATGATGATTCCAATAATTTATTTTATTTTGAGTACAGTGTAGTGAAATTACATGTACATTCTCTGCTATTTTTTTCTTCTGTTTTTTTTTCTTTCTAATTCCTACCTTAACACTTTTTAATTGTAGGAAAAATATTATAAAAATAGTTCTTGAACATTACATAACTTTTTCTTTTTTTTTCAAAAAAAGAATATTATGCCGTGTCCATCTATAATGAATATTGTTGTAAAAATTACAAAAAATTAAAAGGAGAGAATTGTGCGTAATTTTACACTATCGATGTTAGTGTAATTTTTTTTTTTTGGATTATCAAGCTTGATAGATTTTTTTAATCTGGTATTTTATATGAATTGGTTTATAATCTCAAACTGAATTCTGGTGATCTAAGTATTGACTTTGACCATAAACATTTTCAGTAATGATTGTCGCACATCAAAATTTGGTAACATTTGCACCTATTCAAATTCTTGCCAATTAAATTTTGTTAAGTACACCTCCTTTCATTGACAATACACACTTATTATTTTTTAATTTTGTTTTTATTCTCTGTTTATCGGACTTCACAAACTTCTTTTCTAGAAGTATGAATTGGAAAGTATTTTTTTAAAATACTGTTATAAAAATGTAGGTTAAAATATTTTCTACTGGTGCTTATAGTTTAAAATAAACAATTCTAATTTAGGTACTTATTTTTTTAAAAAAAATTTAGTTCTTATAATTTTAAATAAATATTTTTAGTCTTTATATTTACAGTTATATAATTCTTTTATGTCTTATTGGTATTTTTTTAATGTTATTTGTTTTATATTGAAGTGATAGAAATCTTTAATTAGGTGAGGGTAAAAAAAAATGAATCTCAATGATGAATGTTGTAGGTGAAATTACAAAAAAGCCACAAAGTGTTAATAAACTTAATTTAAAGTAATTTTCAACAAAATAAATTTAATATCAAATACAAGATTAAATTAATACTTCTCTCAGGATAATATGAAAGAAATAATATTATTAAAAAAAGTAATAATGAGGGCTAAAAGAATTTAAAAAAAAAACTTAAAAATCTTTCTTATATTATAACGATTAAAAATTATAGAAAATAAAAGTACACGAACTAAAAGACTCTAATTTAAAATAAAAAGACTAAAAAGTAAAACAAATGAAATTACATTAACTAAAAAAGTATTATAATCAAAAATATATTTCAAGTGCTTTTAAAACATTAAATTTAAAACTATTTTAAAAACAATTCCTCACTATGGAATTGACTTATCATACTTTACGAACATTTCTTTTAAAAAAATTAATAAGTTATTTCTCTTTTATGTGGCTAATTATTGTTGTGTTAAATAAATTATAAAAAAATATAAATAAAAAATATAATTTAACACATTAATTTGTGAATTGTATATAATGTAAAGAACAATAAAAGTGAAATGAAAAAAATTAAGGTTTAAATAATGATAAAATTGACATAAAAATATAATTTAAAAAATACAAAGGGTAATTCTCTTAATTGTTAGAGAAAGAAGTTAAGAATAAAAAGAGGAAAAAATCAAGAAATAGTTATGAGAGAGAAATGAAATAAAAGAAGAAGAATAATGGAATAGAACGAAAGAAAAAGATAATTAATTAAAAGGATATTTTGAAAGAAAAAAAATAAAGAATATATATATATTAATCAACTACTTACCAAGTATTGTTTTAGTGAGTTTTAACTTTTAAGATTTACTGAGCAAATCGCAACCCTTACTCTTGGGCCTCTCTGTTCTTTGGTTTATAGCCGACTTGTTTGTGGGCCGCATTATCATGTTTTCATGGAGGCAAATGATATACACACCTCCATTTGTTTATAAATACACTTCTTTTTTTTAAAAAAAAAATATTAAAATTTTAAATTATCTTCAATATTCTTTTAATTTATAATTTTTCAGATTCACGCCTCTCTTCTCACCATTCTTTTTTTTCTTTATGCACTCTATTTTTTTTCTTTACTTTTTTCTCTGTACCTTCTTATCTCTCCTTCTTTCGTTTTCAATTTTTGCATTATCCTTTTTTTTTTTTAGTTTTGTTATAAGTTGTAAACGTGTTCAGTGTCGAAAAAAAATGTGTCAAACTATATGCATTTTTTCCTCAAAGTAATTTTTTTCACTATTTGTTCTGGAAAGTGCTTTTCAGAATAATAAAGTTTTTGTTCTGAAAAATATATTGAAGAATAGTAAATTTTTTATTCTGGAAAGTATTTTTTGGAAGTGTGCTTGTTACATAATTTTGAAAAATATTTTCCAAAATACTAAATTTAATGTTCCGGAAAGTTCTTTCCGGAATTATATAAAAAACATACTTCTAGAAAATACTTTTCGGAACAATAATTATACTATTCTAGAAAATACTTTCCGGAATGCTAAAATTAACGTTTCAATCAACATAATCATATTTAGTTAGAAAGATATTTTAAAAAAAGAGATTGAAGGTATATTTATAAAAGATAGGAGGTATATATATCATCACCCTTTCAGGGGATTCTTTGTTGAAGAATGTCTTGTAGAGCCCACAATATCACCTACTTATTCCAAAAGTTTGGACTTCTAAGTCCTTAAATTTGTATTTTAGGACGTGTGAGTAAATATTTATATTTCTATAATTATAACATAATATAAATAAATATTTTTAAATATATAAATCATGTTATAATTAAAATTCATAATAAATAAATATCTTTCCATATATAAATTAAACTTTGAATTTACAATGAATAATCTAAATTGTTATATGAAAATACTTTTTAACACTATTGAAATTTTTTTTAAAAAAATAAAACTATTATAATTCAATTTAGAGATAGAGATAAAAGAGTGTAAATCGAAATAAGTAGACAATTAAGAACATTAAATATACAAATAAAGATAAAAGAGGTAGCTTGAAATTGTTAGAAATTATCTTTGTTAATTACAAAAATAGGTTGTGAAATATACCTTTAAAATAAGTGTAGATCGAAAAGATCTAATTTAGAGAATAAGAAAAATGAGAGTCATTCCCTTCAAGCCGTATATTTTGCTTTATAATATAGAGTAAATACTTTCACCTATTTATTGGAATAAACAAAACTATAATACATATATTAATAGTGTAAAACTTAATTTACTTCATTATCCGATCACTAATCATTATATATTACATATTTGTTGATTTTTATAATAATTGTTTTAAAATATTTATCAAAAATAATTTCAAACTAATTGACAAAATAAAAACTTTTAACTAACGACACATATTATTTAATTAAACTTAATATATCATTTTACCCTTAATATGTAGATTAATTATTTTTTATTCATTAGTTGACACTATAATATATTGACCCTAATATATAGGTGATTTGAATAGTATGCTCTGAATGTTACTAAGATATTTAATATAGTGCAGTCTATTTAATTAAATAACTTGTGATAACGTTAAACCTAGGTGACCACATTAGTAATGGCTATAACACTTATATTGAAATGCAGCATTAATATTTACTCGTGACATTTCAGAAAACTTGTGCCGTATAGGTTATGTGGTTCTACGTACAAAACATCAATAGTCAAATATATAATTACAGCCACCCTATCAAAATTCGAAAGTCATGACATGAATTATCTAGCTAGAACTAGAAGCCTAGAATAATGCCTCTAAAAGGAAAATTATTTTTTGTTCTAGAATAACAACCTTTCATCAACCCTTCATAATAACTCCTTAAAATAAGAATAATATTCAACATCTTCATACTCCCTGGCCCAATTAATAAAATTTGTCACACTCAATTTAATAACTTCACCAACAAACCCCCTCA